TCAACAACTTGGGTGCCACTGATTTGGCCGTGTATGGATGAGCCAGAGGAACCAAGTGTGCTGCTTTGGACAATCTGAGGTTGTATGGCTATCTGAGGTTGGAAGGCCATCATAGAAATCCATAGAGAGATCCTCCCATACCAGGGCCGGAATGGGAAGTGGTTGTAAGAGACTGACGGGGGAGAGGCTAGCTGCTTTGGCGCGTTGGCAAACATCACATGCCGCAACGTAATCGCGGAGGATGCGGTGCATAGACGGCCAATAAAACATTTGGGCCAACCTCTTGAAGGTGCAGAGAACGCCAGAATGGCCACCGGCCGGTGTGTCGTGGTACTCGCGCAACAATGACTGCATAAGAGGAGAAGTTGGAGGAATAACCACACGGTTTTTGTAGCAAACTAACCCGTTGCAAATAGCATATGGTTGACCCGGAGCCGTTGTGGCTAAGGAGCGTATGCGAGTCAGGTACATGTCGCTGAGCTGAAGGTGTCGGAGATCAATCCACAAGTTTGCTTGTTGACTGCAAATCGTGTGGAGGCAGGGGCTATCATGACGGCGAGAGAGAGCGTCATCTGCTTTGTTGGTGATGCCCGGTTTGTATTCGATTTCGTAATCATACCTGGCGAGTTTTACTACCCACTTTTGCTGCTCCGTAGTGAGGATGCGCTGTTCAAGCAAGAACCGTAAATTGCGTTGGTTGGTTTGTATGGTGAACCGGCGACCGAGCAAGTATGGACGCCAAGTACGTATGGCGACAAAAATCACGAGCATCTCGCGTGCATATGTCGACTAGCTTCGATTGGCAGGACCGAGAGAGCGACTCATGAATGCGAGAGGGCATCCTTGCTGAGTAAGGACTGCGCCGATGCCGTCGCCCGACGCATCTTTTTGAATAATGAACGGAATCAAAAAATTTTGGAGGGCGAGAGTAGGGGTTGTAGTCATTACTGACTTGAGCAGCACAAAGGCCTTCTCTGCTTCCGGACTCCATTCCAATTTCCCTTTTCGCAGCAAGTTAGTGAGAGAGCGGGCAAGAGTATCGTAGTCACGCACGAACTTACGATAGTAGCCAGTGAACCCCAAGAAGCCACGTAATTCCGTGATGTTTTTAGGTGTACGCCACTCCGTCATCGCTGCGATCTTGGTTTGGTCGACCTTGACACCTTAACCGGAGATTATGTGCCCAAGATACTCCAATTCCCGTTTATCGAACTTGCACTTCTTACGTTTGACAAATAAACCGTGCTGGCGTAAAATCTCCAAAACTGGTCGCACATGGTCCAAATGGTCGGTCGTGCTGCTACTGTAGATGAGAATATCGTTGAACACAAACTTGCTCAAGTAACATCGGAAGATTGAGTTCATGAGTGCTTGGAAGGTAGATGGCGCGTTGCATAACCCGAATGGCATAACGAGGTATTCGTAATGACCGTTATGCGTACGAAAAGCTGTCTTGGGAATGTCCGGCTCGTGAACACGAACTTTGTGATAGCCGGCTGTCAAATCAAGCTTGGTAAAGACGACGGCGCCGTGAAGCTCGTCCAACATATCCTCGACCGTTGGGATAGGAAATCGATCTTTGACAGTCGCTGCGTTTAGTGCTCGATAATCCGTACAGAACCTTCACGAACCGTCTTTCTTCTTCACCAAGAGAACCAGGGAGGAGAACGGGCTGGAGCTTGCTTCAGCTTTTGTCAAAAACAGAACGTCTCAACTCTGTCAGAATATACCAGCTCATCGTCACATCTATTTTAATTGGTTGGACATGCAAAAACGTTCCTTTGAAAGATGTGAAAGATGGGAAGTCTCCTTCTCTTTGAAAAGCTCAAATAATGCAACTGGTTTCATCTAACATTCATGGAGCATCTTCTACATGATTCCTTATAATTTCCTCTCTGAAGCAAAACATTAAGCTCTCCAAAAAAATTCCTGCAAAGCTTCTCTAAAACCACCATCTAATCAACAAAAACCCAACATAAACTGTGGTTGCAATGTTTCCAGCATGAAGCTCTATTGATTTTTTTTGTCAACTCTGATCAACCGTAATCGCAGCAGATACATCTTAGATTGATCCCAATCAGCTTCTCAAATATAGTGAATATTTATGCATAATTCTCCTCTCCAAATGCTTTTCTTGACAACCAAAAACAACATCCATGAATTGATCATATGAGCTGCTATACGATGGATAACACTCCCCCTACACAGTTGCATCACATTCTTCCCTGCTTGGCTGCTCATAGAATGTAAAATCCACAGATTCTTGTGTATCATCAAACTGCAACTATTTCACACCTTTGTTTCAACTGACTTGTCTTCTCTCTTGTGTTTTTCATCTTACTCATACATAATTAGCAACCACAAGAAACTTGTCTTGCCTTTGTACTTGACTAGATAATCAGATCCTTCACAAAAACCCACTACCAAAATTTGTGTTGTTCAAAAGCATCATTATGATTTTATATAGTCTTTGTCTCCAACTGCAGCTCGTGCCAATATTTACAACTTCACTAATCTTCTTAGGTAGCTCATACACCCAACTTCTGTTATCAACGGCAGTTCTCATGTACTAATGAACCTATCTACAATATACGGAGGGGTAGTGCTCTCTTTGAGTCATTCTCTTTCGTCAGAAGACTTGACACACTTGCAAACAAATTATTTCTTCATCATGAATAGCTCCGCAGCAAAATTTTACCCGACAAGCTTCAAACAAGCACTCCATCAAGCTATCAAATCGTCTATACCTTCTCTCAACACAAAACTTTATAAAAAGCACCGGTATAGAAGTTTTCGAATTAACTACTCTGAACCGCCATCATTCGACTATGTTTCAGGACTCAAAATCCAGTGCCCTTATCCCTGAATCTATTTCCACATGTCTGGAGTATCTCTACCAAAATTCATCCCATTCTGATAATGTCTATATCATAGCCGGTCAAATCTGAAACTTCAAATAAACTGTGCCTAGATCAGTTGAAGAAGCTCTAATAAAATACAAACCAACCGTCCAAATCTCAATCCCACCGTTGAAACTCAAAACAGCATAACCATGAAGCTTTCCACCAAATTTCATCCCGATCAGATTACGTTTTAGCCACCAAAAATTGCCTTAAATCAGACATCTCGAAACTGTTTTATCCTTTCTTCTCTAATCCGTAAATCAATTGTCATTGATGATGATGCAGTTCATATCTCCACTCCTCTTCCTTGGTGAAATCTTTTAGTCTCTTTTTAATCACACAACCTTCTTTACATGACCAATAGATCATCGTTTCCTTAAATATATGATCTCCAAGATTTTACGCTACAATTTCTTGTCTTGAGGCAAGCACCACATAGTGTATGACAAATGCCCATCTTCATGACTCTTTATTACTAAGAAGATCTTTTCTTTCACCGCCACGAATTTGAATCAGCCACAGACATAATTGAACAACTCTTGAACTAAAACTTTTCCATCAGCCTTGCTGCAGAGCAAAAACGAAGTGGCAAACAAACCCAGGAAAAATTATAAATTTTGGTTACAACATCCACACCAGTCATATGAAGCCACATGAAGAAGCAGATCACGATTTGGGTTTACGGTTTGTGAGTTATGATCAAATTCGCAAGACAGCTCCTATACAATACAAACCTACAAGAAGCCAAGTTTGAAAGCGATTTCCCATCAAATCATAAGGCATCAGAAGGTGTTATCTACATCAATGGAAAGATCTAGCTCTCAAGTTTTCAGAACACCTTTGGTAGCGCAAATCCGAGTTCTGTAGTCAAAGTAACTGAAGAAGAAAATAACACCCGAGAAAGAAAACTGTACTTGAAAAACAATTCACAGCACAACCATCAACACACTTCCAAATCAGACTTCAACCAATTAAGAAGCAGACTACCAAATCACTTCCTTCTTCGTGGTTTCTCCACATCCGAATTGACAACACTTCGTGTCTCCTCCTGCGAATTACTTTACATAACTGAACGTTGTGAAATGTTGATGCATTCCTCTGATCTCTTACCCATCCTAAGTGGAGAAGATGGTAACAGCTGCGGAGCACGGGGACTGCTGTGAGATGCCGTTTCACGTCCCGGAAACGTCTTGGGGACGGAATCCTCAAAGGGTCGCCGGCGAGACGTCTCACTGCCGTTTCATGAACAACGGAGTCGGCAACCCAAAACATGAAACGGGACGTGTTGAAATTAGAGAAGTTTCAGAAACGTATCATGAATATTTAAGCGCACATGTTAAATAAATAACAAATTAATTATTTTTTCAATAAAAATTCAAACAAAAAAAGGAATTTTAAGAGACATCTAGGGTTTTTACCATAATATAAGCGATTCAATCTCCTTCTTCTTTTTTTTTTTGTCCACAACTCATCGCCTTCTCTAAAGCTGTCTAAAGTCTAAACTCTCATCAAGGAACCAACACCTTCTCTTATCAACACTGAAACGCTTTCACGATCGTTCATCAGTCATCAGTCATCACGTTACTGTAAGTTAATTTTCTTCTTCTTCTTCTTCTTCTTCTTCTTCTTCTTCTTCTTCTTCTTCTTCTTCTTCTTTTTACATAAAATTTTGATTGAGTTTATTGATCGTGAAACGTAAGCCCACGTGATCGTTAATAATTGAGTTTATTTGTTAATTAATAAATTTATATAGATTTTGGTGTATGTATTGTATCATATATGTTTTTGGTGAGTATCGTCTATAATCTGTTTTTTTTAGTGCGAGTATCATATATGTTTTTTTATAATAATAAATCATGCCATCTTCTCAATTTTAATTAAATATTATATTGTTTAATCAGATGAGTAATCCTCAAGCATCAAGTGAGAATGTTGGTAGTAGCGCGGACAATGAAGGTGATGAAACTCGTAGTCCATTATGGAAGTATGTGACTAAAATACTTTTGTAAGGAAGAGCGACAAGGTTCATTTACTAGAGTTAAAGCTCACTTGCTTGGAATAACAAATAAGGGAGTCGCTGTTTGTAAGAAAGTGACGATGATTGAAAGGGGAGATATGAAAGCATTGCAAGACGCGTTTGAGGACAAGAAAAAGGAGTCTAGACCAAAAGACGTGTCTTTACCTTGTGAATCGAATTCTGCTTTCAAGAAAAGAAAATCTAGCTTTTCACCCATTGAAAAAGCATTTGGTGTTGCAGTCAGGGACCAATTGGATGAAGAAATTGCCATAATGTTTTATACTGGAGGTTTGGCTTTTAATTTAGCAAGGAATCCTCACTACCATAGGTCTTATCAGTTTGTTGCTGCCAACAAAATTGATGGATATGTGCCTCCGGGTTATAATAAGTTGAGGACGACGTTGTTACAGAAAGAGAGAAACCATGTTGAGGGATTATTGGTACCGCTTAAGTCAACCTGGAGAGAAAAAGGGATGAAAATTGTGTCTGATGGTTGGAGTGATCCTACAAGAAAACCTTTGATTAATTTCATTGGTATTTCTGGAAGTGCTCCTCTATTTCTCAAGGCTGTGGATTGCTTTGGCGAAGTTAAAGATAAGTTCTTCATTTCTAATTTAATGAAAGAAGTTATTAATGAAGTGGGTCATCAAAAAGTTGTGCAAATCATCACTGACAATGCAGCAAATTGTAAGGCGGCTGGAGAGATTATTGAATGTTCTTATCCTCACATTTATTGGACGCCTTGTGTTGTACATACGTTGAATCTTGCATTGAAGAATATATGTGCAGCAAGGAATGTGGAATCAAATCTTGAGAGATATGAGGCGTGCAATTGGATAACACATGTTCTTGCAATAAAAATTATATCATGAACCACAACATGAGACTAGCAATCTTTAGTAAGTTCTCTCCTCTTAAGTTACTTTCGGTGGCTGATACTCGTTAAGTTACCGTAACAGAGACGTGTGTCTCTCTCTCTCATGAACTCTTTATGAAGCTCTCTAGTCTCTCCTTTAGAGAATTACTAAGCTTTAACAACCCATTTCAGCATCACATCTTGAGTACTGTTCTAAGATTTCAAGAATCTTTACCTTCCCTTTGTGAGATACACCTCGAATTAACTCCTTAAGAAGACCATCTAGATTCTCAAACTCTTCTTTCTTAAAATTCCTGAACAGCAACCTCAAAACTTTTTCCGGTCTTTCTTTCTTATGAATTTAGCTATCATCTTTACAGATGGCAAGAACTTTTGATTCTGCTTCAGCAGTCATCTCATTCTTTATGCTTGAATGATTCTTCAACTTAAAATACCTTGTTTTTTTCAAATTGCAATAAACCATCAAGAGGAGATAGCACTCCATGTCTTACTTTAAATCACCTCTTTTCTGTTGATTACATTACCAATAATCAAAAATAACTTGAGAAGAGAACGCTTTGAAATATAGTATCAAAACAGTATATGGGCACATCAGTTTTAACTAAGATTTAGAGCAACCCCATCAGATAGCTTCGACACGTGACAAATCAAAGCTGATTTTTTTCACCATAATCTCCACCTATGAGCTCAACGACTCGCAAATCTTTCACTTAATCTCAACATAGATGAAGATTCTCAAACTCAGTTTCTGGTTGTGAGAAGAAGCTTTAATCCATTCCAATTTCTTCTCTTTTCTTCTCACAAATTAGAAATCTCAAAACAAAAAGCACATTTATTTCTTCTCCATCACACCACATGTTAAACCCCTGGTGTGTTATGTCAAACTCAAGACAAAAACTTTCTGTTGATTTCTTGAATCACTACCTGTTGGGCCGAGATGGATATTCATAATAAAACAGGCCCATGTAGTATCATCAAGTCCATGTAAAGTTAACAGAAGCTCAAACATAAACATAAGATCGGTAACTCTTTTTTTGGTAAAAGAGTTACCGATAATCAGAAGATCGGTAACTCTTCCTTCTTCGTCTTTCTTCTTCTCCACGCTTGACTTATAATCAGAAGCAAACTAGATTTTATTCAATGCTGTGAAGTAAACAGAGGCTAAAGTTTCCACCTTTAGCTTGAATAAACACAAACCAAAGATTCTGTAGACAACCAAGATTGAAACCTGAAAAGAAACTTCAACACAACCACAACTACAACAACAGATTCAAGAACCAGCAAATAGAGCAAAATTAAGCTAAGAACCTAGTTCACGTCAAACCGACCCTACGTCTGGGCCGGGAACTGTCTCCCGGAATCCACTATATCACTGAGTTTACAAGAGATCTCTCACCCACAAAGCCCCTGTACAAAAGCTCTCTCTAAGATTCACTCTCTTACACTCAAACTGTTTCCCCAAGAACAAAGACAATGCTTACACTCTGTATTTGTTCTCACGCTTTCTTGCTGCCTATCTCAATACGAATGCACAGCTTTCATAGCCTCTCCAAACCTTAACTTAGGCTCCTATCACGCTCCTTCTGTAGCTTCCAAGATGTTGCCATCTGTTTTTGGCATTTCTTCTCAGTTTGTAAAACCTGCAATTTTACAAAGAGACAAGAGTTGCTTTTGCTGTTTGTTGTTCCTTTTATAAGCAAGGCAAAACAAGTACTCTTTGTCTTGTGGGCCTGCATATAAGCTAGAGTCTTGCTGAGCTGGCATTAATTCCTCATCACACTTCTATTTGTTATGTTCTTCATCACTAAAACCCAACAAATCTCCACCTAGTGATGTAAGAGCATAACAAGGATGACTTTGAGTTATGAAACCTGACTTGAGATAGATTGTAATGACATAGTTTCTGGATTCCCTTCCCGGTCCTGAGTATGGTTACTCAGCCTTGACCCGCAGTAAGTTCAATGCTGCTTGAAACTTACAAATAGGCACAATCTTAGTGAAGATGTCTGCAGGATTACTCATGTTAGAAATCTTTACCACTTCCACAACTCCATTTGCAATGACTTCCCGGATCTTGTGGTATTTTATGTCAATATGCTTCGTTCTCTCGTGATGCACATTGTTCTTTGATAAGGCTATAGCACTTTGGGAGTCGCAGAATATCTCCACACACTTCTGTTCATAGCCAAAATCCTTCGATAAACCTTTAAGCCATAACACCTCTTTGACAGCTTCAGTAAGGGACATATACTCAGCTACTGTGCTGGACATATCCACCACTTACTGTAAACGCGACCTCCAGCTGATAGTGTTTCCTCCGAGAGTGAACACTACTCCACTTGTTGACCTTCCTCTATCGAGGTCTCCACCATAATCAAAATCAAAAAATCCTCTAAGTATAAAATCACAGTTCTTCTTGTAACATAATTTCAGCTTTAAGAGTTCCTCTGATATACCTTAATACCCACTTTACTCTTAACCAGTGATCTTTGATTGGTTTGCTCATGAAGCGACTGATGACGCCAACCGGATAGGCCAAATCAGGTCTTGTTCCGATCATGGAGTACATAATACTTCCCACTGCCTTAGCATACGGATCCTTCTTCACGTACGCTGCATCCTTGAGCAATTGTTCATCTATTGCAGAATTATTTTTAAATAAGCACCAAGAGGAGTATCAGCATGGTTTGACTGCTCCATCTTGTAAACTTCTAGAACCTTGCTCAAGTAATCTTCCTGAGACAGTTTAAGAGTCTTGTTGATTCTATCTCCATTCCAAGAATTTTCTTTCATCTCGAATTTCTCACTGAGCTTCTGCTTTAAACTTGAAATGACATTCATGTCTTTTGCAGCCACCAACATGTCATCTACATAGCTGAGCAGATAAACTTTGGAACCATCATCAAGCGACTTTATGGAAGCACAGTTGTCGCGAGGGCTTCTTTCAAAACCGATTTCCCTCATAAAACTATCAAACTTCTGGTTCCACTTCCTAGGTGACTGTTTCAGACCATACAATGATTTGTTTAGAAGGCACACTTGATCTGGCTGGAACTGATCTTCAAAACCTTCAGGGACCTCCATATATATATCTTCTCATCCAATTCTCCATGAAGAAAAGCAGTTTTGACGTCAAGCTGTTCCAGTTCATAATCTTCTTGTGCAACAATAGTTAACAAAATCCTTATGGACACATGCTTCACCACTGGTGCAAAAACATCAATGTAATCCACTCCTTCTCTTTGTGCATAGTCTTTCGCTGTTCAACTTCTGGAATTTCTTGCTTACGCTTGAAAATCCATTTACAACCTTTAACTCTCAGTCCCTTCGGCCTTGTGACAACAGTCCACGTGTGATTCTTTAGCAGAGAATCCATTTCTTCATTTATGCCACCCTTCCACAGCTCCCAATCCTCGTTTCTAAGAGCAGCTTTACAGTTTTCTGGCTTGAGAGCGTCTCCGTCTACTGTTGTGACTAGGGCTTATGCATCAAACTCATCCTCTTCATCAGTGTCTTCAATATAGTAACCTTCCACATCAAATCGCTTGGGTGCTCTAACTTCTCTTCTTTCTCTGTCACGCGCCAAGTGATAACTTTCAGGAGTTTCAACTGTGACATCTGCTGTGACTTCATTTTCTTCTCTATGAGGACTGCCATGAGGTGAGGGATGATCTCCCAGGGATCCAGTTTCATCCGGGAGATCTCCACCTAAGGGCATGTCACCAATTTCTTCAAGATCAATGTCTAGAGACCCACTTGATGTGTCTATTTTTGCAAATTCTGAATCTTGATTTCTCTGCATTCATCTTTGTATACTACATTTTCCTAAAATTATACATTTCTACTAACACTACACTTCCTTTCATCTAAGAGCCAAACCTTGTAACCTTTCACTCCTGTAGGATAACCTAGAAAAATTCCTTTCTTTGCTCTAGGGACCAGTTTTCCTTCATCAGAGTAAACAAAAGCTACACACCCAGATCTTCTTAAGTAACTGTAAACGGGAGATTTACCTGTCCATTTCTTGTCAGGAATCTCAAAGTTTATTGCACATGAGGGTGACTTGTTGATTAGAGTGACTGAAGTACTTGTAGGTTCAGCCCAAAAACTTTTCGGTAGACCATAATAACTTAACATGCTTCTTACCTTCTCCATTACAGTTCTGTTCATTCTCTCTGCAACACCATTTTGCTGCGGCGTGTAAGCACAAGTTATGTGCCTTATGATCCCTTTCTCCTTGCAGTAAGATTCGAACTGTTGATTACAGAACTCAAGGCCATTGTCAGTCCTGAGAATCTTGATCTTTCTCTCTGTTTGATTCTCCACCATGATACTCCATTCAACAAAAGTTCTGAAAGCTTCATCTTTGTGCTTGAGAAAATAAACCCATGTCTTCCTTGAGTAATCATCTATGAAAGAGATGAAGTACTGACATTTTCCCAAAGATAATGGAACTGATGGTGCTCCCCATAATTCATAATGAACATAGTCTAACTTATCTTCAGTGCCATGAGTGGCCAACACAAAACTAACCCTTTTTGCCTTCCCATAGATACAGTCTTCACATGTCTCAAGATTTGAGATTTACTTTCTGTCTAAAAGATGTTTTTTACCAAGATTTCCATATTCTTTTGACTCATATGGCCTAATTTTCTGTGCCATAAGACTGTATCATCAAGTCTCCTTTCTACTATAAGAGACTGTCCAATTTCAGGTTTTCCTTGAAGCAAATAAAGCTTCTCATGTCTCCTACCCATCATAATAGTTCTACTTTCTTCTTTGACCAGCAAAACACCATTCCTAGACTCAAAACTACAACCTTGTCCCTCTAATGTTCCCATAGAGAGTAAATTTCTATCCATGTCAGGAATGTACCTTACACGAGTCAGTAGAACTATGAGCCATCCTCATTTCTGATCATGACATTCCCTATGCCTCTGACCTTTAAAGTTGTCTTGTTTCCCATTCTTACAGAGCCTCCAGCGTTTTCACTTA